AAACCTGACTACATGCATATATGTGCATATATACATATACTATTTTTAAATATAATCTAAAAATTAAAAAGTAAAACAAAATTAAAAACAACAGAACAAAATAACTGACTTAAGGGTTAGGAATATACCTCATTTATAGACTGTTTGCCTAGTATAGGAAGGGCTTGGGTTTGTATCCTAGTACTACAAAAGCAAAACACAAGGAAAAGGGTTGATATTCATACTATACATAGTAATTTTAACTACAAATAGTAAAAGCAAACTGTATACATATAGGCACTAATTAATTTACTTCTTTAAATAAAACAAATGAAGCACTAACACTATTAAATGCTTAGAGAAACTTACATAATTGAACATAATTTATCTTATTAATTAGTCATTCAAGAAATATTTTCTTAGAGGGGGCTTTAATTAGCGAGGAGGAAGAAAGATTAATATAGGAGGAAGGGGATAATAAAGTCAGTAAGGGTATCAGAATAAGTCCACACAGAATCATATCTATCTAAGTTTATATATGATACATGTTAAGTCTGTGTATAGATACACAGTTTAAACGGAATTTTTACATCTGGACTGATAACGCACCCCACAAGAGCCACAGACTATCTAATAAACACCCTTATGACCAAGCATGAGAAGCTCCCTTTAAGTTGTTGGTCAGGGTTGTCCAAGAGAGTCATAAACAACGGCTGTTGTTATTGTCCACAGATGTCTCCAACAGCTTGAATGTAAGTCCCTACTGCTGAAGATAACACGTACTTTGGACACAGGTCCCAGAGGATCTGAGCTGGCTCCAACCTGAAAGATTTCTCCCAAGGACTAGCACTTATAGTATCAAAGGTGATATGCAAGCTTCCAAGGGAGGGAAGCCACTAGTAGTCCCATCCAGCTATGATGCCTATTAACTACAACAATGACCAGCATGGCATGGTATGTCTAAGGGTACAAAAGTGGCATATAGCTTGGTGGTGACCAACAGCTCTAACTGGACTTAAGGCCCATTCAACAGGAGGGAAGTTATGGATGGTACTGGAAATCCAGCCAGCTAGCTGGGACTAGTGAAAACATGAATCTTGAAGGAAAACTGAGAACCTATAACTTCTACTTTACAAAATCATCATAATCCCTAATTACATTCTAAATATTTATCCTTATACCCACAGATACATGTACTTCTTACCCTTCATTGCAGAAACTTCTTTGCAATAGATGCAAACCATTTGTAGAAAAGTACAACTGATCAAAATGCAGTTGTCAAGTCCAGTCCCAACTGATGCATCTACAACACAATTCCTATACCTAAGGCTCAGGGATCATTACAGAAGAGGGAGTGAAAAGACTGTGAGAGCCAGAGGAACAAAAATTTTGCCGTGAATTTTCATCTCTTAGAAATGTAAGAAAAGCCACACCCATAAAGTCTCATCAACATGACCCGAACAAGGACTGTACCAATAGATAAGCTAATATAGAAGGGGGAATCTTATGTGGTCTCAGCTCTAGACAAAACACAAAACAAAAACCTTGTAAGTAACTAAGGAATGCTGGAAGTGGGAAAACAGTCTTCTATAGAGAAGAGTGCGCAAACCTGCTATCCAATACCAAGTGGTCAGTTCTAAAATCATGTACACAAGGAGGAGTACAAGTGCCATTATACAGACTAATCAGGTTGTATTCATATATTTAGGAATGTGTGTGTGTGTGTGTATGAGTGCGCGTGTGCACGCGCGCATGTGCGCACCATGCACACGTGTGTGCACATCTTAACAACAAAGAAATAGAGGTCAAAAACTTGAGAGATAGCAAGGGGGTGCATGGGAAGAGTAGAAGGAGAAAGGGGAAAATGATACAATTATATTTTAATTTCAAAAAATAAAAAAAAAGATTTACTGGTAGTATATACTTGTAATACAAGTACCAGAGAGGCTAAGACAGGGGGGTTTTGAGTTTCTGGACTCATGAAAAAGAAAGAAAATTTTTACTAAGAGACTAAAATATTGCAGGTACTCTCCTTGGAAGTTGAAGACTAGAGTAAAAAAATGAAATTATTTTTAACATGAAACTTCATTGTATTCTATTTTATAGTTAAACTTCAGACAAAATTCATTTAGGAAATAAGTAAAAGCTTGTCTGTGAACTAGGGCATCCCTCTCCCATTCTATGTCAACCTTCAACAAGCTTTTCACTTGCTTCTAATTACAAGAGATTGCCCAGCCTGAATTTGGTTTAAGTAATAATAGAGATCCTCCATTCCAAAAAAATTATGTGCAGGGGCATCCTATATAAGGAACTAATCATGGAAAAGAGAAAGAAAAGTTCTCTAGGGGGAAAATATAAATTTATGACAAATACCAACATTTTCATAGTTCTTCTCTAGACTACTCAATTCAAATAAAACAATTCTAACATTATGCTAAAAAATAGCAAATGTACTTTTTTCTCTTTTTAAATTGAGGTGCTCATGACACAGAACATTTTTTGTCTCATTCATTTATTCTTGAAATACTGAGATTTTGAAATGTTTAGACATTTCTCCTTATGTTCAAAACCCTGACCTGAGGTGCTATGTGACTTTGAGCACTACTTTCTCTGCTTTAGCATGGCAGTAACAACCTCTCCTTCAATACAGCTTAGAATCAGAGGGGGTGCAACACTGTAGTTGAACAGAGGTGACTCTCTAGGCTTGAGTCTTCCAACTTGTGGCCTCTAGCTGGTGATACTGTTGAGGGAAGCTGTGGGAAATTTAGAAGCGGGACCAGGATGATAGAAACGGGTGATGAAGGGAGGCCTTTAAGGCTTACAGCCCAGATTTTGGTATTATGCTTTGTTTCTTTGCCTGGCTGCTTTGCAAAGAGCTGTGTCCCATATTCCTACACAGAACTATGAAAGCTAGAGTTGTTTAAATCTCCATGCCTTCCCCACCACGAAGGACTGAGATCCTTGACTCCTGAAACAGTGAGTCAAAATAACTCTCTTAAGTAGTGCTGTCATTGAAATGAAGTGACTAACACAAGCTTTAAATGTTCAATCCTAATTGATGACATTATTAATCCACAATTATTTACATTTATCATTAACATATCCCTCAAATTTCTAAGTTAGAAAAATACAATAAATAAGAACAGAATAAACCTGTTGCTCAAATTAAGTAGCAAAGTAGCAATACTATTGGTGTGAATATCCAGAATATCTAAAAATGATCAAATTAAAGAATGTTTTAGAAAGCAAAAGCTTCATCAATATCTCAGCTGCTATTCCAAACATTCATGTATTTCCTGTCTTTGAAAACATTTATTACCTGTTATCTCAAAATATAGTTTATTATATTATTTTAAAGCAACAAACCAATTATTTGATAGAGTTTATACCATAAGAAAGTATTCTTTTCTTTCCTTATTCTGGTCAAACCAGAATGGAAATCTCTAAAACAGTTCTACTGAAGGAAAATAGTCAAACAATAATAACAAAACCCTAGCTAAATCCAGAAAATGGAGATGTACTAAAAATACAGGAAATATCAAACACCTGAAATAAGGCAAAAGTACTATACTAGTAAGAATCTTTCAATTAAATTCTTGGTAATCTTTCAAACAATCATGAAGAAAACAAGAAAGTTACAAATGGAGAGGTCACTAAATACCCAGCAACACTCACCCAACTATTGGTAGGAGACCTCTTGGAGACCCAGATGCTTGAATCAGCTGAAATAGTACCAAGTTTTTACTGATTACTCTTAACAAGGCAATGGAGCAGAGGCTAACTCCATACTATAATGAACTGAAAGTTATTAATATTGACAACTCTACTCACTACCATTATAAATGACTCAAAGGAAGAATAAGGAATGACAAATTCCAGTGTAAATCAAACCACACTCTCTGTTAACTTTTATCCTGAGAGGTCCAAGACTGACCTCCTGATAACCACACTGGCAGAACAGTTTTCTAAATTAGTGTGTTACAAATTTTAAAGAAAATGCATCACTTAGTTTAACAATGGCTCCCATGAAAAACTGTGAAGAAATATACTTTTTAAGATAATACAAATTCTCCAACACTATTTTAATAATATACCAGGAAAGGCTTTTTTTCTAAGTTATTTCAGTGTTTTTAAAAGTAGATTTTAGACCTTTTAATTATATTAGTGATATTTGTAATCAGGATTCTCAAAATTGAACCCAAAGAACTTAGAAGAGTCAACAACTCTTCTAATAAAAGACTCAAAGGTGAACAGTACTTTTAATATTAATGTTCAATATTTTTAAACTACGAAGCTATAACTTAGCAGAAAATATATGCTGGAACCTAACTCTAACAAGGAATAAAATAGAATCAGTACCAAGGTAAGAATACAGCAGTGTTTTCTTGATTTCTATTAAATTAAGGATAACTTAATCCCACACAAACCCAAACATTCCTTTCTCCAAACATCCACATGGGGTTGAAGAAAGACAACTTACAACCATGGGAATGGTTAGGTACAAACATGGAAGACCCTATACTTTTCCCAAGTAGTTTAAATACAAAAACTGTTTTACCTTACAGATATGTGTCAAGTATGAGCATAAGTGAAACAAAACACATTTGGTTGAAATACATCAGACAGACAAATATGGAGCAGACTTTTTAATGTCAATTATGCATACTCAAGCTGACACTAAAGCAGTATGCCAGTTGGCAAATGATGTAAGAGAAACATCATTAGGGATAGGTCTGCAATACAACATTCTGTAACTTCATCATCTAACAATTTTTTAAGACTTGAGAGCAGTGATAAAATAGTGAAGCACAAAAATCTTTTGAAAAGTGCCTATGAGGGAGAAATTTGAGAATAGGATGTTGAAAACAAATGGCTAGCACAAGAGAACTGATAATCTTATTGGCCCTATAAGAACAAAGGAAGAAGTAATTAAAAATAGAGACTGACATATAAATAAAAAGTCCTCTATGAGAAAAATTTAAACATTGCAAAATTTAAATGACAAAGCATGCCAGTATTACCTTTCTTTCGAAAGAGTGCATTTAGGTAATTTTCTGCTTGGCATTCAATCTTATCAGTGTGGGACTGGCCCTGAGATGATAGCTCCTCTGTTGGCGTTGACTGTGAAGAATCAAGAGATGGGAGACAATCCTAAAATTATAAGAAAGTAACAAACCTAATTACTTTTCATTTAAACCTGAGTTCCAACTAAATATGTTAAAATTGTTTCAATGTTTAAGTTGTTCTGCCTTTTATAAAATATAAAATGATATAAAAAGAATATAAAGTCTAATAGGATTCAGGAAAAAAAATCACAAATGTATTTCTAACAGGGGCAAAATAGCCTTATTCCTTACTAAAACTATGATAAAATGTGTGAGGCGAGGGTGAGGGTGGGCAGGCACTGCTGAAATTTTACTATATGCATGCCAGTGAAGTAATCCTGCTAGAGGTTTAACAAAGTAGATGAGCTTAACAGAGTCTCAAATTCTTCTTAGCTCTACTCATCACAAAGATAAGAAATCAGGATTTCTCACCATACAAAAAGATGTTAGTTATACACATCTATGTCCTCCATATAGTAGGTACATATTTCATATCAATACAGGATATATTTCTGATAGCCAAAGACTTTAAAAGTAGTGAAAGGGCTACAGATAGTAACATATTATCCCCTTACTACCAACTGTTGAGAAACCAGATTATAGATTGGTCTTACATAAACTAGGTCTCCAAGTTCACCCTTGGATACCTAAATTACCAACCTGACCTAAGGTGAAGTTCATGAGTCAGGGAGTAATAAGAAGTAAATGTGAAGGAGGAAAGCCAAACCAAACCAAAGCCAATCAAATAACCAAACAAACAAAAAATAAAAAAAAACCAAAACCAACCAAAGAAACAAAAAGAACTCCCCCCAAAAGGAAGAAAGAAGGAAAAAATTGTATGAATTCTAAAAGCTAAACTAAATGTTGGACATATTCTTTCCATTCAACAAATCAAGTATTTAAATTTTCACTGAGTCACAAATTATCAGAACAAATTAAGTTTAAAAACTATTGCAATTGTGTAATTATTTTTAAAATAATTTCATGGCACTAACACTTACACTGACTGCTTCTCTCTGTAGGTTACAAAATGAACATTTTTCATCCATAGACCAGTCAGTCAGCTCTTCTGGTTCACAGTCTTTAAAAGAAGGAAAATATTCATTAAATATACTAACTTTATAAAAACCAGCAAAATCACCATCTTCCACAGCAATGGCAAAAGAAAAAATGAAAAAAACAAAACCTAACTACTAAAAGTAAGGGCAGAAAGTCTAACTTTCAAATTAACCTCTTGATATCTAGAAAAATAAACAATGGGCCATGAGATAAAATATCAAGAAAATGAGCTGGTTATACATTAATAATTTTCTAACAGAATTTTAAGTATCATCTAATCACTTCAAGGATCCAATCATCACTATTTATTCATTTCCTTTTATTTTCATTATGACAGGCAGACCAAAGGGGGTGATATAAGGAAGAAAGAAATAAACTATGCACAATCTGAGAGAAAATATAACACAGAGAAATGGAAGAAAGAACCAATGTGTCAAGAACACCAAGTTTGAGAAAACGGAATGATGCCAACAAAAACAAGTAGCAATCCATTAGTTAATCAAAAATAAGGTCAGACTCTTTTATTTCCAAAAGCTTAGTTACAAGAAAGATGGAGTAAACAAATAGGGTATATAATCCAATGCAAACCATACACTATTTCCCATAGCTTAGTGCTGCTTTCAGCCTTGGTCAGAGAAATTCCTGTTTACAGTGGTGACAGTTATATAGAGACTCATAATTTGCCAAAAAGTGATGAGAACAAATGGTTGTTAAGTGCTTAGCCTTATGGGGCATCTATATCACATTCCCTCCACCCTAACACTTGGGGAACATCTTGGAAGAAGGAGCAAAATTTAAGAGTTGGAGCATGAAGAAATGTGTTGTATTTTGGCCGTGACAGAGCTACTGCCCCTATGTACTGGCAGAGGTAACAGTGGTTACCTGCAGAAGACTGGGCCTATCCACATTCCATCATAAATGCTAAAGAGCTCATTAAACCCCACTTCCCCATGATGAGTTAAAAATTAGTAGATGCTGGCAGAAGGGAAGAGTAAGATGCCCTTGCTCAAGTAAATAACCAAGTTGCAAGCACTCTAATTAAATGCAGAGGGGCATGAAAACCTTAGGAAAGGAGAGTTGGGCAGAGGGGCTTGGTGGAAGGGAGGTTAAGAGAGCATAATGTAGACAGAAGAAATATAAGCAATTAACAGCCAGGACAGTTTATCTCCATTAGAACCCAGCAACCCTACCAGAGCAGGCCCTAAGTATTGAAATATCGCTGCAGCACAAGAAAGAGACCTTAAAGTGGCATTTATAAATATGATAGAAGACATTAAAGAGGAATGAATAAATCCCTTACAGAATCTGTGAAAACACAAAGAATATAAAGAAATGAATAAAACACCCCAGGAACTGAAAGTGAAAATTGAATTTATAAAGAAAACCCAAACTGAGATAAATTTAGGAACTGGAACAGGAACCTCAGACGGAAGCCTTGTCAACATAATATAAGAGATGAAAGAATCTCAGGCACTGAAAACACAATAGAAGAAATGAATATCTCAGTCAATGAAAATGTTAAATCTAAAAAACCCCTGGTATAAAATAACAGGAAATTTTAGACACTACAAAATCTAAGAATAATAGGAATAGAGAAAGGAAAAGAAATCCAGGTCAAATGCACAGAAAATGTTTTCAACAAAATCACAGAAGAAAACTTCTCTAGCCTAAACAAAGATGTTTATCAAGGTACAAGAGGCATACAATACACCAAATAGGCTGGACTAGAAAACAAAGTCCCCTTGCCACCTAATAAATATAACACTAAATGTACAAAACAAAGAAAGAATATTGAAAGCTCCAACGGAAAAAGACCAAAAAACATACGAAGGAAACCCTAAAAGTCAGAATGGCTCACTCAGATATGCTACAGACTCTAAGAGATCATAGATGCCATAAGAAAACACTATACCCAGTAAAACTTTTACTCACAATAGAATAAGAAAATAGTTCATGATAAAATAAAATTTAAGCAATATCTATCTACAAATCCAGTCAAACAAGAGGCACTGGAAGGAAAACTCCAACCTAAAGACGTTAACCACATGGAATAATAAATACACCTAAATCAGCAAATGAAAAGAGGGGAAACACACTCACCACCATCACCATATAACAGGAATCAACAAATAATGCTCACTGATATCTCTAAACATTAATGGTCTCGATCTCCCATAAAGACACAGACTAAAGAATAGATTTGGAAGCAGAATCCATTCTTCTGTTGCATCTTCTGTAGTATCTAGCAAACACACCTTAACATCAAGGAAAAACATCACCTCTGGGTAAAAGGATGGAAAAGATATTCCAGGCAAATTTACCTAAAAAGTAAGCAGGTATGGCTATTTTAATTTCTGAGAAAATAGACTTAAACCAAAACTAATCAGTAGAGACAGGAATGGACATGATACTCATCAAAGGAAAAATCCATGAGAGGACATTGAGATTTATAAAATCTAGGCACACCAAACACAAGGGCATCCAAATTCATAAAAGAAATACTACTACAGCTTAAATCCCTCACATACTGATAGTGGGAGACTTAAATATTCCACTCTGGCCAATATATAGATCATTCAGACAAAAGCTAAGGAGAGACAAGATCAAACAGATTCAGGGTGGTACAGCCATGGTTTCATCCAGCAACTAAAAAGAGCAGATGCAGAGATCCACAGCCAAACATTAAGTGTAACCTGGAAAACCTCACAGAAGAGGGAGAGGAAGGATTGTAGGAGTCAGAGGTGTTGAGGACGCCACGAGAACATGGCTTACAAAATCTACTAGGAAGGGTACATAGGGGCTCACAGAGACTGAATTGGTCTAAGCTAACTAAGTCCACTGTATACATGCTATGGTTGTGAGTTTGGTGTTCTTGGACTCAAACAATAAGTATGTGTGTGTGTGTGTGTGTGGGGTGTCTCTGAATCTTTTGCCTGCTCTTGGGACCATTATCCTCCTACTGGGTTGCATCATCCAGCCTTGATATGAGGATTTGTGCCTAGTCTTATTGTAACTTGCTAGATTGTTATCCCATTGAGACCTGCTCATTTCTGAAGGGAAATGGAGGAGGAGTGGATCTGAGGAGAGGGGAGGTTTGGGGAGCTGAGAGAAATGGAGGGAAAACTGCAGTTGGGATGTAATATATGAAAGAAGAATGAACTTTAGAAAATTAAAAAGTAAACTAAACAGAGAAATGTTGGTGCCAACTAACATAAACCAAATGGACCTAACAGATACTTAGAGAACATTTTACTCAAACACAAAATAATATAGTTCAGCAGTTCATGAAACTTTCTCCAAAACTGACCACATACTTAGACACAAAACAAGTTTCAAGATATAAAAGAAAACTGATAACACCCTGTATCCTGTCTGACCGCCATGGACTAAAGGTTGATTTTAACAGCAGCAGAAAGCTTACAAACTCATGGAAACTGAACAATTCTCTACTGAAAGAAAATTGGGTGAAGACATAAAGAATGTCTAGAACTTAATGAAAATGAACACAAAAGAACACCCAAACTTATGGGACACAATGAAGGCTGTTCCATGAGGCAAATTCATAGCACTGTGGGCCCACATAAAAAAAAAATTGCAGAGATCTCATACTTAGCAATTTAAATAGCACACCAGAGAGTTCTAAAACAAACAAAAAAAAAAGTAATCAAACTCAAAAGGAGTAGATGACAAGAAATAATCAAACTGAGGGCCAAAATCAATAAAACAGAAACAAGAGAAACAAACATACAAAGAATCTATGAAAACTAAGAGTTAGTTCTTTGAAAAAGATCAATAAGATCAATAAACCCTTACTTAAATTAACTAAAATGCAGCAAGAAAAGATCCAAATTAATACAATTAGAAATTAATATAATAACATAACAAATATAACAGACACTGAGGAAATCCAGAGAATCATAAGGACATGTTTAAAAATCCTATACTCCAACAAATTGGAAAATTTAAATGAAATGGATAATTTTCTCAATACACGTTACTTATCAAAATTAAATTAAGATGAGCTAAAACAATTGAAACAGACCTATAACCCCAAGTATAATAGAAGCAGTCATTACAAATTCTCCCAACAAAAACAAGCTCAGGACCAGATGGTTTAAGTGCAGGCTTCTATAACACTTTCATAGAGGAGTTGATGCCTATACTCCTTAAATTATTCTACAAAACTGAAACAGAAGGAACACTGCCCAATTCATTTTAAGACCACAGTTACTCTGATACCCAAACCACAAAGAGACCCAACCGAAAAACTAGAGAATTACAGACCAATTTCTTTTATAAACATAGATACAAAAATGCTCAATAAAAATACTTGCAAACCTAATCCAAGAACACATCCAAAGGATCATCCACCATGATCAAGTAGGCTTCATCCTAGAGATGCAGGAATATTTCAATATACATAAATCAAATATGTAATCCATTATATAAAAAAAACCGAATAAAAAAATCACATGATCATCTCATTAGATGAAGAAAAGGCCTTTGACAAAATCCAACACCCCTTCATGATAAAAGCCCTGGAGAAATTAGGAATACAAGGGACATACCTAACCATAATAAAGGCAATTTACAGCAACATCAAATTACATGAAGAGAAACTCAAAGCAATCCCATTAAAATCAGGAACAAGGCTGTCCACTCTCTCCATACCTATTCAATATAGTATTTGAAGTCTTAGCTAGAGTAATAAGAAAACTGAAGATCAAGAAGAAACAAACTAGACAGGAAGGAATCAAAATTTATTTATTTGTAAATGATATAATACTATATACATAAGTGACACTAAAAGTTCTACTAGGGTACTTCTACAGCTGATAAACATTTTCAGCAAGGTAGCTGGAGACAATATTAACTCACAAAAATCAGTAGTCCTCTTATACATAAATGACAAAGGGACTGAGAAAATCAGGGGAACAACACATTTCATTATAGCCTCAAATAATATATCTCAGGTTAACTATATCCAAGCAAGTAAAAGACTTGTATGATAAAAGCTTTAGG